CAGGTAAAGTTTGTCTTCTTAGAAAATCTCTTTATGGCCTAAAACAATCACCGCGACAATAGTATAAGAAATTTTATTCTTTTATGATTGAAATTGGATTTAATAGATGTCAATTTGATAGTTGTTTTTATTTTAAAAGAAATTCTGATTTGTCTTATACTTACTTGTTGCTTTATGTGGATGACATGTTGGTTGCTTGCCATGACAAAACTGAGATTATTCGATTGAAGAAAATTCTCAATACCAAGTTTGAAATGAAGGAGCTGGGTCAGGCTCAAAAAATTCTTGGTATTACCATTATAAGAGACAGAATGCAAGGAAGATTGAAGCTGGTTCAAGAAGAATATGCAAAGAAAATTCTGCAGAAATTCAATATGCAGAATGCTAAGGCTGTCCAAACTCCCCTAGGGCAGCACATAAAACTTTACCATGATCAGTGCCCGAAAACAGAAGAAGAGCAAAAGGAAATGTCTACCATTCCATATGCAAATGCCCTGGGCAGTCTAATGTACCTAATGGTTTGCACCAGGCTAGATTTGGCATATTCTGTGAGTTTAGTAAGTAGATTCATGAGTAATCCGGGAAGACTCCATTGGTCTGCACTCAAATGGATTCTGAGATACTTACAAGGATCAAAATCTATGGGCATAGTTTTTAGTAAGAACGAGGAAGAAAAATATTGCATTAGAGGTTATGTTGATGCTGATTATGCAAGGGACTTTGATAAGAGAAAGTCCACTTCAGGATTTGTTTTTACACTGTGGGGAAATGTGATTAGCTGGAAATCAAAGCTTCAGCGTATGGTTACTCTCTCATCAACAGAATCTGAATATGTAGCTTTGACAGAAGCATCAAAGGAAGCAGTATGGCTTAAGGGTTTTGTGAATGAACTGGAGCTAGAACGGAAAATTGTGGAGATCAAAAGTGATAGTCAAAGTGCAATATATCTATCCAAGAACCAAGTCTTCCATGAGAGGACAAAACACATAGATGTAAGAATGCATTTCATTAGAGAATTGATTGAAAAAGGAGAAGTCAAGGTTGAGAAGATAAGAGGCACTCACAACCCTGCAGACATGCTCACCAAACCAGTCACTGCAGATAAACATAGGCTCTGTATGAGCCTATTACATGTTCAAGCATAATTCAGTTTGTCAAGGCCACTTAGGGTGTCAATTCACAAGCCAAGGTGGAGAATTGTGATGATGATGTGGCTTGTGTATGCCACGGTGGAGTCAGCATCAGTCAAAGAAGTCAACTTCAAATTAAACCAATACAGCAGCGTTTCAGCTATCAGACTTAAGTGCCTTATCTGTCACACGAATTTCATTCTGTTGCAATAGAATGCGCAGCTCTTTTCACGCCTTCTCTGGTTCCTTCTCAGCCCTAACGACAGAAGATTCTAGTGCTCCTCTGCTCTAACAAATTGCAGATTGTTCTAGACAGCTGGAAGATGATCAATGGGTCTTGATGTGTATAAATTTCTTACCATTTTGTGCGAATACAGAGGGAGTGGAGAGAGGGCTGAAACGGGTGTGTTCTTTCTTGTTATTCTTTGATTGTTTACTCTTTGTAACCTTTGGTTCTCTTGATTAATGAAATATCCTATAGTGTGCCTTGAAGAGTGGATGTAGGCTTCCTTAGCCGAACCACTATAAATCCCCTGTGTCAATTGTTTTTTCTGATTTGTTTCATGCTTTAATTAATCTCTGATTCTATTGCTTGATAAGATTGTGTTTGCTCACTGATTGATTTGATTAGCATAGTTGAGAGCCCTAATTAGTCACTACATCCAACTTGACAAAATCACCTGAATATTATATGGTCTAATTATATTTTCAAGATCATCACCTTATACAATTGATATTATTTTTGCAAACATGTCTTTGATATTCGATGTCAATATTTTGTAGTGAATTGTGTATGATATTTAATATCACCTGAATATTATCAATATCAACTATTTAAACTTAAAATTTATACTAACATTCCGCAATTTCTGTAACTTATATTCATTTTCAAGTTGCATTGCAGGGGTATGTTTATTATTATTATTATTATTATTGGTTTTTTTTTTTTTTATGCTTTAAATATATTTTTTCTATATTGAAGTTCAAGAAACAAGAGAAACCGAAATGTATGTGATGATAAAAGGAATGGTTCGGCAATGGGGCTACAGTTATCCAAATTAAGCATATAATATATCAAATTAAAGTCCTATCTGTCTAGTTTTCAATGATTCAAACCGCTCATCAATTGGGTTTTTATTGAGTAAGTTATGGTCAATTTACCATTGTTTAGTAAAAATCAAAATGTGTGTGATGATAAAATGAATGGTTTACTTAACCTAAATTTAAGGGATTATCATATTAAGACTGACAAGAAATATTTCAAATAACACCTATTAATTGGAAAATGGAATCAGCCAAAATTATTTCATTTAACATATATATTCGCATGTCAGTAGGACATAAACAATTAATCATTCATATAACAAATTAAAATACATGAATTTTTTTACAAAAAACATATTCAACACAAATGAACTGTTTTTACTAACATAGATATGACACAGGCTCATAGTTCGGCTAAATAGGATCATCCTCGATTTGCTCTTAGTAAAGCACATGAACATTTCCTTGAAAACAAACATAACAAAATTTAATTGATCTACATGTTAAGATTGTTAAGGAACAATTATTTATTCATATAACAACTGTTATCTGAAAACGAAATCAACAAAAGTTAATTAATCTTCATATTAAAATTGTTAAGGAATACACTTACTGTTCGGTAGGACTAACACAGTTAATCATTCAAATAGATTGATCGAACAAAAACAATCATTCAATTAAATAATAACCGTTAAAATAATTAGGAGACATACTTACAGTTTAGAAGAACGAATCAAAATAACAACTCATTTGACAATGTTAATCGGACATCCTGCCTTTATTCCATGCCAATTCATGAATTTTTTACTTGTAAAAAACAACAAAAACATAAATAAATAAAAAATCATCGGTTAACAAAATCATGAAGAACAAACATATTATTCACACAAACTAACATGATTTATAAACAATTAACAAAAAATCAGACGTACTGTGGACACCAACTAACATATTACGATAATACACAACTAAACATATGTTCTTTTTATAATCCCTTATTTAGACATTTTGAATGTCAACACAATTAATATGAATTGAATACGAAGAAATGTTTGCAATGTCAATACAATGCACCTATATAATTATTAATAAACAGGTATGTTTTTACTACTAATGCAATGTATCTATGTAATCCAATTTTTATGTCTATTTATTTAGACTTTGGAATACCAATGCAGCAATTAATATTGTCTACATCATTACTAATAAAATTCAACCAAATGGCAATCACCAATCTAATGTGACATTATGATTAAACCTTTAGAATGTCAATACAATGCACCTATATAATTAGTATTATAATTAATTATTAATATAATTTTTATTAATTATTAGCTATTAATACAAATCTAACATATCAAGATAGAGTAATAAATACAAACCCAATATGTCAATATGGAGCAATAACTACAAACCCAATATATCAAGATGAAACAATTTACTTGGGCTCATTAAACCACAAATTTTAGTTGTCAATCCAATGTGTCAAGATGGAATAATTCTATGAGTTCCAAAATATGTCACGTGTCAAACGACCAAAGAGGTTATATATATATATATATATATATATCACTTGCTTTAGCCTGAAAACTAACCAATTTATGGAACCCATTTAAAAATATTAAAAACCCTCTTACAAAGTATCAAAAATCCTTTTATACAGTACATAATTCTCGGCATCTTGGCAATTACAACAGTGTGTTTCATGTTAAACAAATAATAAATGAAATAAAATAATGTTACATTTACAAAGAAATCTTATAAAAACTTTCATACAAGATGATGTGCCAAAAAACTCTATTTTAAAAACCGGACCGAACCAGCCGGCCCTACCAGTTGGACCGGGACCTGGGGCCTTCTCCAGGTCGGGTCACTCTTTTTAGTTGTTTCAAGTTTAAAATATAACAAACATACCCCTAACTAATACGCATCAGTCCTTGAAGGTTTCAAATCTAGCAAACACACCCTCTGGCCAAATGCAAATCGACAATGACCTCCCCTTTTCTAGCGACCTTCCACCTTCCCTTACTGTCGGAAATCACCTTCTGACTTTCTCTGGCATTGTCACGCTTCATCTCCAGCGCTATGTGATGTTTCGCATGATTTTTCTTCCATTTCCCGGCATCGATCGGCCTTCTCCAACATCGACAGGCTTCCTCAACCACCGATCTACCTTCTCCCAAGCTCCCTTGTCGTCATTCATGAAGATCCAGTCATCTCACCCAAAAAAGCCACCGCGACCATTGACTTCCACCACCAATCTACCATTTTTCAGCGATGCCTTTACTTGCTAGCTACCGATTCGCCCTCCCCATCATCCGATCTACCTTCCTTGGTGTGTCGTCACTGCTCTTCCAATCGATCACCGATTTGCATTTGGCCAGGGTTGTGTTTGCTAGATTTCCAACCTATAGAGTCTGATGATATTTATCAAGGGTGTTTTTGTTAGATTTTAAACCTGTCAAACCATCGATTCAACCAACGGTCCAACTGGTTGGACCAGTTAAACCGTGACCTGACCATCAGAGCCGGTTACCCTCCGATCGGATTTTTAAAACAATGCTAGAAAATGAATAAAAGAGTGAATATAATAAATTTGATTTTTTGTTTCACTCTTTCATTCATTTTTTAACATATCATTTTATACGATAATTTTTGTATTTGTATAAAAAAATTTGTAAGATTTCTTTATAAGTATAAAATTATTAAATGAAATAAACCCATTATTACTAAAACATTTGACGTCAATCATTATCTAACAACTGTCCAAATGAAAACATGTTGAGTTTTATTAAAATAATAGGAAAAAAAAAAGGAGCAATTATATACATTTCAATATTTCATTTCATTGATAATGATAATGTTCCAAACTAAGTTATTTACACCAATCTGAAATTTACAATTACTCTGGTACAAAATTGACCCTTCCAACACTTTAATCCCAATGAGAAAAATGAGAAGAAATCATAACAGAAAACACACCTAAGTTTTAGCTACACGAGAGCAACCAATTTACGCATCAATCATCTGAGAGAAATTGGTAATCCACGGAAATCGTGCACACACTATCTTGATTGCCCATTGGTTCGACACAACAGCAAGTTCATGCTCTGCTGTCGTGTGACAGAAACTATGCCTAGTAAAGCTTCTCCCAGAGTGCACCATTTGAATCTGTAATACCAAAAATTTGCCAACAGGTAGATGTAACAGCTAAAACATGCTTCGCTTCTGTCACCTGTGCAGCATAAAATACTCTCAAGAGCTTTCAAAGTACTGGCAACAGGCCTTGTCACACCTATGCACAAAGGATGCAACTGCAAATTCAAAATATGGAACCTTAAATGTAGCCAACTGAAACAATAACCAATTATCATAACAAGATGTCAAACCTACAACTCTATATGTGTTCACAATACAAGTTCGTGGTGCTAGATTACCTCCTTGTGTACACCAAAGGTTGATCGAAAGCTTTCAAGACTGCCTGCTGTTATAATGAGGAGAAGCAGGACCCCGGGAAGTTTGCAGTGGCCTCTTCAAAAATGGATGGTCCAATAATTGTGCAGCAGTAGGGCGCTCATTTGGGTTAACTTGTAAGCATTTTAGGATAAAATCTCGGGCATCTTTGGATAGTGAGATAGGTACTTCAGGGGGTACGCCCCTGCCTATCCTAAATAACGCTTGCATCTGTCAACCCATACAAAAACATATCATCACCAAAACACAAAATCCAATTTCTGAATGGGTAACAACCTATCAAATTCTAAGAACAACTTAGTGTTCCTAAGGGAAAAGGTAGTAAAATTAAGGTTTTTGCAAAGCAAGGGCACGGTGGCGGTTTATCATATTGGACAAGGATAATCCATACATATAATATCACTCAGAGTTATCCTTGACCTGCTTTTTATGAAATAAAATCGAAACAACTAACTTTTGACAGAAACCTAGACTGCAAGCCAGACAAGCTGGGTGTTTTAAAAAATAACATATGCTCAAGTTCGGTATTATCTTTCAAAAATCATAATATGTTAATATAAACAAACCACATCACATAAAACAGGGAAAGTCATGTAAAAGTAAAAATCAATTTGAACACATAGTAAAACTGAATACATACGCCTTCCAAGTTGGAGTATGGAGGTTGACGGGTTAACATCTCCAGCACCGTGCATCCGAGGCTCCATATATCAGCTGCTAGTCCATACCCACGGTTCTTTAAGTTCACAACCTAAATTGCACAATTATTTTGTTAACCTGAAATGCCTTGGAAGGGTAATCATTCCCAGATAGAATGAAAAGACAAACCATTAAGTATGGTCACAAACTATAATATAAATAAACAGTTAAAGTGTGAAAACTTATACAACAAAAGCTTTTGGGCTGATCTTGATCTAGTTTTCATATATGTTTTTATGGTTGTTTAATCAGTATATAACTACTTAAATTAGTTGTCTCTGCACAGCATAAAGAGTTTTGGGGTGTTCTTTTTGTATGGTTTAAGCCTATATAAAGGTCCATATATTATTTTGATCAATAAAGGACATGATGAATGTATTTTGAATAATGACTTTTGTCTCTTACAAGTTTCCCCATTTCCTATTCTTCTAGATTTCTCCAATCTCTCTCATCTACCACTCCAACAACTTGATACCATAGTCTGAAATTGATTTGCATGTTCCCAAAATGAACGATTCCTAAAACAGCAAAAAAATGCCTCCTAGCCTTCCAAGCAGTCATAAACATCTCTATGCACCTTCAAAATCAAGGACGAACACGGGAATTAATGTTATAGAGGGCAAGTTAAATAATTTAATGTAATTCTAGGAAAACTAAGTGAGTGGGGAGCTAACTAATTTTAATATACATATAGAAAAAGTGAGCGGGGTCAAATCTAGAAACATTACACATATACAGCTTAATCAGAACAGAAAACTAAGCAAAAATTAATGAATTTTGTTTTTTAGTGGGGTCACCAACCCCTACTCGCCCCTTAATAGGTTCTTCCCTAATCAAGATCACTAGCCTCCCATCTACTAGTCACTCCCATCTCTAGTGTTATCCATTGTCCTTGCCAGGTTACACATACCTTTACCAGCCCTGAGCTAGAATAGATCCAAAAACATACAACTTTACCTAATTACCCTTCCCGATGTAGATGGATGAGAAGAGGAGACATATCTTGCATTTGAGATAGAGATAAAAAGGAAGGTAAAAATATTCAAAATTAAAAAGCAAGAAAGTAGAATTTTCGACATACAGTCCTTAAAACTAGATATATAAAGAAAATAAATTGAAGGAAAAAGAGGAAGAATATACTTTAAACCAAACATGTCAATTCAAAAAATACATATGCCAGTAAGAACTCGATTCAAAACTTACAGCCATTGAGTATAAGACAACAATCAACACTAAACAAGTCATTCAGTTACACTTCCAATTTAAGATATGGTGGACACTATTATATTTTGGAGATATAAATTAGACAACAAGAGAAGAGGCAAACCTCAGGGGCCATCCAGAATGGAGTCCCTTTGCAGGATTTAACGTCATTCATTTTAGTTGCCTGGAAAGATCAAAGGTACATTAAGAAGCGTTGCAGTTAAGAATTTTATAAACAAGAGTTTAGTTGCGAAAGAAACCTACCTTTGCCAGTCCGAAATCTGCAAGTTTTACAGATCCACTTGCATCCACCAATATATTGGCACATTTTATATCCCTTGAATAAAGAAAGACAAGTCTTAAAAGAAGCTACACTAGCAAATAGAGGACTATAATAAAGAAATCTAAATTGCCATTTTCAAGTTCCAACAAACACAATGATATTACTTATCAGAAGGATTACAGTGCAAAAGCGTCTATGAAGTTAATGCAATGTAATTGGAACTAAGGCTTACTTTTGCTTAGTTTATGATGGAACCACCTGTTCAATTAACTCAATCCAACCACAAAACACAAGAGCAGAAATGAAAGTAACACACATCCTGATAAAACTGAATGATATTATTGTATAATGAAAGAAATAGCAACAGCAAGAAAGAGTGACCACAGATCAATCCCCAACAATTCGAGGAGCTGGACCCTCCCAAATTACCTATCAGAATTTACTTGATACCTCCTTTACCACTCTCTAGCTATTTATAACCAGATACTTACTAAACTAACCTTACTCTAACAAACTTTATTCTATCCAGCCACTTGCATGCAAATCCCGTAACAAACTCTCACTCACACTCATTACCCCTTAGTGCTCTTTTTACGACCCCTCGACTTATAGACCATATTAACGGGAGATGGAATTGAGGGAATTGCGTGTTGATGACGTCAAAAGACTCCCATGTAGCTTCAAAGGGGGGCAGATCCTTCCATTGAATGAGGACCTCTTTGGTACCATTGAGTAGGGACTGCACCGCAAGGACTGATTGTGGGTGAACCTGGCGTTCCATATCTTTGGTGAGAAACGTGGGAAGTGGCTGAACTGGAACGGAGTTGTGTAGGCTGCGTTTGAGCTGTGACACATGCAACACTGGATGAATTCGAGCAGTGGAGGGTAGAGCCAGTTTGTAAGCTGTCAGACCAATTCTGTCCACCACCTCAAATGGCCCATAAAACCTAGGACTGAGTTTCTTATTCAGTTTCCTGGCTAAAGACCTGAACCTATAGGGCTGAAGTTTGAGGTAAACAAAATCTCCCGGAGAGAAGCTGATATCTCTGCGATGTTTATCAGCCTGCTCTTTCATGTGTCCTTGAGCAGATTCCAAGTGATGTTTAAGTTCATTTACGATGGCATTACGGTGAATGAGCTGTTGTTCACGTCTTCAACTGAGGAGGGGTAATCGGTTAGCTTGAGGAGGAGTGGTGGGTCCTTGACATAAAGGGCCTTGAAGGGTGTCATTTTAGTGAAACGATGGTACGTTGTGTTGTATCAATATTCTGCCCAAGAGAGCAAATTTGTCCACTGTTTAGGTTGGGAACTACAGAAACATCTTACATACGCCTTTAAACACCGATTGACCACTTCGGTTTGGTCATCCGTTTGTGGGTGGTATGCGGAACTGAACTTGAGAGAAGTCCTCGCTGCTATGAAGATTTCCTGCCAAAATTGGCTCATAAAGAGTCGATCTTAGTCCGAGACTATAGATTTGGGAAATCCATGAAGCTTAACAATTTCCTTCATGAATATCGTAGCAACCCCCTTTGCACTAAAAGGGTGAGACAAGAGGATAAAGTGGCCGTATTTGGTGAGCCGATCAACCACCACGAGGATACTATCAAACCCCTTGGCTCGTGGTAAACCTCCAATAAAATCCATCGTCAAGTCGTCAAACAATTGCTCAGGTATCGGCAAAGGCTGTAAAAGCCCGACTAGCTTGAGGGCTGTAAAAGCCCGATTGACTTGGCAAATAGTGCAGGCCTTCACAAAATCTTGAACATCTTGCCTTATCCTTTCCCAATAAACAATGTTGGCCACCCGTTTGTAAGTCCTGAATGCCCTCCACCTGGGTTGGAATGGAATTCTGCCAAGAGTTTAGCTATGAATTTGGAGCCTTTTGGTAAAACAATTTTGGTTTTGTACAAAAGACACCCTTGCCTAAGTCTATAGTGTGGTTGATTGTTAGGGTCAAAGAGAAGGTCCTAAATGATAGGCTGCAACTTGGGATCTTCTTGTGCTTCACTGGCTAAATCTTCATATTCTGTAAACTGTACTACTGAAATGGTGTTCAAATCTGGTCCCTCCACTCTTCGTGATAAAGCATCGACCACCTTATTTGTTTTTCTCGGCCAGTAGTGAATGTCGAAAGAGAACCCCATTAGTTTGGACAACCACTTTCGTTGTTCAAGAGTTTTAATTCGCTGGTCAATGAGAAATTGTAGACTCCTTTGGTCAGTTTTGATGACGAATCGTTTGCCCTATAGATACGGGCTCCACCTATGCACTGCAAACACGATTGCCATTAGTTCTCGTTCATATACTGACTTCTGTTTTGCTTGTGGAAAAAAGGCTTCGCTTAGGTAAGCTATGGGTCTTGACTGTTGGACCAGAACGGCTCCCATTCCGTGACCTGAAGCATCAGTTTGCACTTCAAAGGGAAGTGCAAAATTTGGAACTGCTAAGACTGGAACCGAAGTCATAGCTTCCTTGAGTCTATCAAAAGCAATTTGTACTCCCTCATTCCAACTAAATGAATCTTTTTTAAGCAAATCAGTAAGTGGTTGTGCAATACTGCCATACCCTTTGACAAATCTCCGATAATATCCCGTAAGGCCTAAATATCCCCGTAGACCTTTCACATTGGTCGGAACAGGCCACTTAACCATCGCCTCAATCTTGTGTGGGTCTGCTTCCACTCCTTGCGCTGAAATTAAATGGCCAAAATACTTTAGTTTCTGTTGACCGACCAGGCACTTCTTCCTATTCATTACCAATTCGTTGTCTTGTAGAATCTTAAGGGCTTGTTCGAGATGAATCACATGGGAATCTAGATCAGGACTGTAAATCAAAATATCATCTAAGAAGACCAGCACAAATTTGCTCCCTCGTTCCAACTAAATGAATCTTTTTTAAGCAAATCAGTAAGTGGTTGTGCAATACTGCCATACCCCTTGACAAATCTCCGGTAATATCCCATAAGGCCTACAAATCCCTGTAGACCTTTCACATTGGTCGGAACAGGCCACTTAACCATTGCCTCAATCTTGTGTGGGTCTGCTTCCACTCCTTGCGCTGAAATTAAATGGCCTAAATACTCTAGTTTCTGTTGACCGAACAGGCACTTCTTCCTGTTCATTACCAATTCGTTGTCTTGTAGAATCTTAAAGGCTTGTTCGAGATGAATCACATGGGAATCTAGATCAGGACTGTAAATCAAAATATCATCAAAGAAGACCAGCACAAATTTCCTCAGAACAGGTTTAAAAATAGCATTCATCAGGGCTTGAAAAGTTGACGGTGCATTAGTTAGGCCAAATGGCATAACTAGTAACTCATAGTGACCGTCATGAGTTCGGAAGGCCGTTTTGTGAATATCCTCCTCCTCCAATCGAATCTGGTGGTATCTGGATCGTAAATCAAGCTTCAAAAAAAACAAAAAACAGCCCCAACTAATTCATCTAACAACTCCTCCATAGTGGTTATGGGGAACTTATCAAGGATAGTTATCTCATTGAATACCCTATAATCAACACAAAACCTCCAACTCGCATCCTTCTTCTTGACTAGTAACACTGGGCTGGCAAAAGGTCTGGTGCTAGACTGAATGATCCCTGCTACCAACATTTCTCCCACCATTTTCTCTATTTCATTTTTCTAGAAATAAGGATATCTATAGGGCCGTATATTGGGTGGTCAGGCTCCCTCTTGTAGGACTATGGCATGGTCATGCTATCAGTGTGGGGGTAGTTTAGTGGGTTGGTCAAACAAATGGCTATACCCTTCCATTAATGATACAATCCTAGGGTTTGTGGGTTCTCCGTTCTGTTCTGGCACACATTCAGTAGAGCAAAATTCAACTAAATAGCCTCCTCCTATGGTATATAGTGACCTTAACATGGCTTTTAGAGACACCACCGTCTTAACCAGGGATGGATCTCCTTGTAGGCTCACCCTTCTGTCCCCCAACTCAAATTTCATTGTCAGGTTCTTCCAATTTGCGTAGACATCACCCCATGAACTCAACCACTTCACCCCTAATACCACATCAACTCTACCCAAATCAAAAGGTAAAAAATCTTGGGTAATCTTAATGCCTTGGACCTTCAGTTGCACTCCCCTACAAACACCTCTCACCATGACACCATCACCTACCATCACCCCAAACCTTTTTCCTTTTTCAATTTGCATGCCCAATTTGCAAACCAAGTCGTGCGAAATAAACTTGTGGGATGCCCCATTGTCAACCAACACAATCACCCCCACCCCTTCAATCTCTCCTTTAATTTTCAGAGTCTCGTCAAAGGTGATTCCGACGATAGAGTTCATGGATAAAGCTAGAGGGTTACCTTCAGTAGTGGATTCTTCGTCGTGTCTGGTGGTGTTTCACCCTTCTCTGGATCATCATCTTCCCATGCCAACAAGATCTGCAGAGATTTGCTCCTACATCGGTGGTTAGGGCTGAACTTTTCATAGCACCTAAAACAAAGCTCCTTCTCCCTTCTGAGTTGAATTTCCGCTTCAGTTAACCTTCGGAAATTTTCCCCTCTGGAGCTCAAAGCTATTGTCACCGGTGGAATATCCCTCCTGTCAACAGAATGATTTGACGAAGAGTGCGTCTCGCCTGAGATTTTAGTGGTATTGGACCACCAACCGGGTCGCCAACCTCTGGGCTTGGAGGGACCCATGAATACCCTTCAATTTTTACATTATGGGCTTCAGTAATTTTGGGCCTAATTTTATACAGCACCCAGTTCTTTTCTTCAACCCAATGAGCCTGTTCCATCACTTCACCTAGCTCCTTGGTCTGTATGAGACGCAATTCAGCTCTGATTTCTTCCTTCAGTCCATTGACAAAGATACCCATTAGTATCTCTTCTCCCAATTCCTTCAACGGAGCTGTATGTGCTTCAAATTCTTCGCGATACTCCGTCACTGATGCAATTTGTCTTAGTGCTACTAGTGCCTCATAGGCTGTCCCTTGAAAGGATGGTCTAAATCTGGCAATTAAAGCGGCTTTGAAATCCTTCCAATTCTGGACTGGTCTCCGAGATTCAAGCCATTGATACCAGTTTAAGGCTCTTCCTTCCATGCACATGGCGACGGCCTCCACCATCTCCGTTTCTTCGTATCGATTAATGGCAAAATATCTGTCAGCCTTGAAGGTCCAGCCAAAAGGATCATCTCTGTTAAAAATGGGCTGCTCGAGTTTGCAAATTTTTTTGTTGTCCTTCCCACCATCCCCACTGTGATTTTGTTCATAGCCCTTATCTCTGCCAGAACTCCGATTTTCTAGAGATACAGACATTTTCTCTTTCTCCTCATAACGTTTCTCCTCCCTTTCCTCCCTCAACCGCATCAATTCTCGCATCTCTATTAAGTACTCCTGGACACTTTCTAAGTCAGTCTTCATCGTGCCCGTATCTTCCTTCACGGTTTTCATTTCCTTTTCCACATTTTCCATTTTGTTCTCCATTTTAGATTTTCCATTACCTAACCTAGCTCTGATACCAAGTTGATGGAACCACCTGTTCAATTAACTCAATCCAACCACAAAACACAAGAGCAGAAATGAAAGTAACACACAACCTGATAAAACTGAATGATATTATTGTATAATGAAAGAAATAGCAACAGCAAGAAAGAGTGACCACAGATTAATCCCTAGCAATTCGAGGAGCTAGGAGCCTCCCAAATTACCTATCAGAATTTACTTGATACCTCCTTTACCACTCTCTAGCTATTTAACCCAGATACTTACTAAACTAACGTTACTCTAACAAACTTTATTCGATCCAGCCACTTGCATGCAAATCCCATAACAAACTCTCACTCACACTCATTACCCATTAGTGCTCTTTTTACGACCCCTCGACTTATAGACCATATTAACAGGAGGTGGTCTATCAGTTTAGGACCTATTAACTTTTTTCACAAAACTTGACAAGTCCATGCACCTGGCCAGGACATTGGATTTCATAGTTTTTCTTTAAGTAGATTCACAAAAAATCTTTTCACCCATCTCTACTTGATTTTTAAGTATTTTCACAAGTCCTTAAACAATAACTAAACTTCTTATGCACACTTAATCTGGTTTTGGCTACCAGAAAAAGTAAATTTATTAAGGTAAATTTTTTTTGGCAAAATGTGAGCCAAAGTCTCCTTATGCACACTTAATCTAGTATCTCAAAGCACTTCAGTAGGAGATGTAACCCCATATACGTACACCTATGAAGATATCATGTTATATATCATTTCAAAATAATTTATAACTCGCCAATTTAGAAATTCCACTGCTAAATGATAACAGTCAAAAAAATTATCCCCCAAACATTTTAACCTGCCAATTTAGAGATTCCAATGCTAAATGGTAACAGTCAAGAAAATTATCCCACAACATTTTGACCCGCCTCTTATTGTTATCTATTGTTTAACCTTGAGCTAGAAAACAGAACCATGATATTTGTGGCAAAATGGGCATTTGGTCTCTGTGGGAGGAGAAACTAATACTTACTTACCTGTAAATGAAAATTATTGTCAGTTATTCTTTTAAAAGCATATGCAGTATGATTACATCCTATCAACTTGAGTGCTCATTCTTATTTGTATTCTCTTTTTCCTTTTCTCTTCCTTACTAATGATTTTCATATTCCATTGTATATTAGACTTTATATCAGCTATCACAAGAAGGAAAATTGAACATTAAAAACCACCAGCACCTACGGTCAACAAAATGGATGTTCCTAAACCAATCTAGCTTCAGCTTCAAAAAGCTCCATTCTAGGAAAGACGACCTATATATAGTCATATATTAGCAAACAAACAGCTACAGGAAGAATCAATTCTATCTATGTTAGCACAGATGAAGTTACATCCATTTGAGTTCAAAATCTCAGTAAGCAAAATGAAGGAAAAAGAAACAGGCAAAAACTCTTTCCAAGAAGATTAATGAGTTAGTATATAGGGGATCAAAAACATTATTAATTATAGAAGAAACACATCATGATGGGGAAAGAAACAAACAATTCATCAGTAAGATCATTATATTACCTGTGAACCACATTTTGCTCGTGTAGATACTTTAAACCACTAAGGATCTGCCTTGTGTATGCAGAGACCTGAGAATCCCTCAAATTATACTTTTGATAGAGATTTGCAAGTGAACCTTTTGTTACAAGCTCAAGGAAGATATAAAGCATCTTGTCATCCTGAAATCATGATTAGAATTAAAAAAAAAATAATAATAATAGAACTGAAATTTGCAAAGATGTAAACAGCCAGATGAAGGAGAATCTAGAATCCATATTTTTGTAGTTCTTCAGGGATTAATGAATTTGATAATGATTCTTTAGTTTTACTTTTCCTTATATAATTTTCTTATTTAAGTAGGATTTAAATGTGTACAGTAGATTCAAATACCATATATGGGCAAGTATGTTTTGATTAGAATATTTACCAATGCTCATCCAGTCAGGGCAATACTCTTAAAAAATCCAATGTAAAAAAAAAATGCGAATTACATTGTATATATATATATGATTATGTTTCTAAACTACATCTCATACATATATTTTATCCAAAACCATATCTTATTATCGGCCCTTTTATGACTATATTAGAAGTATTGTGGCAAATGGGATATTATTTCAAGCATTTTCGAGTTGTATATGCCCCCTTAATGCAATCGATTGTGTTAATGATAAGGAAATGGTGAGAAAATTTCACATGACGGAAAAGAGAAAAGTTCATAGGGTTGATGTCAACCAGGGACAGAAGCATGCATTGAGTTTAAATTTTTTAAATACAAAAATTATAGTAGACTGAGTGTTTAGTAAACATTCTTGGGAAAAAAAAAAAAAAAAGGTTACAATAAGTGTAAAGTTGAGCTTATTGGGCTTCATAGCCAAATTTTGGTTAGTTTAATTACTATCCCAATATTTTATGTGGTCTAGTTATTTTAACAAAACTAATAATATAATTTTAAATAATTAAAAGCCCATTTATTTTACTACTCCAATATAGTGTGATAAAATCAATTTATTATATATATATTTAAAAAACTTTCTTGTTTTTTATTATTTCATGTCAAATAAGTATTTATAATCCTCACAAGATAATACAATATGTATGTCAATCCTTCTTTAAAGGTATTTCTTTTATTTCATCAATCATAATTAAAAGAACATTTTTTTTCTTATGGATTGTATAGATCTCCGCCTCTCTCACTCATATCTCATCCAATAATTTTATCACTTTGAATATAATTATTTGTACTTTGAACCTAACATTGAGAGTGCTTTATTTCATTTGCATTGCATTGCATTTTTTTAACTTTTTTATCATATAATTACAATAAAATTTTTATATAAAAATAAAATTTAAAGGGTAAGGGTCATTATGTCTCATAATTATGTGTATGATTCTTTTCCCAGTAATAAAAAGTTTCTCAAACCAACAATATTTGTTAAAAAAATATGTTTAGTTTAAGTATTATTTAAAAAAAATATATTCAGCCCTCCCCTAATTCCTGGTTTTGCCCATTTAAGTCAACAAAATGCATGAGAAGTATATAATATTCAAGTTTGGCAATATAGATGCAAGACAAGAAAATGTACTCTATCATTACACAGATTTTAGCTCTCACTTGGTGAATATTTGATGCAAAGAATATATTATTAATATTATTTAGGATTCGTTTTCCTATTTCAGTTTTCCCATTTAATAATTTATTAATTAGGAATAGTTTTTAGTTTTCCTTTTTTATTTAGAATTCCTATTTAATAAGAAATTGGGAATGGTTTTCAGTCTAAAATTAGGATTTGTCCTAACTAGTATAAATAGGACAACATAGTTTGTTTATTGTATCTTTTCTTTAATTCATAGGTTTTCTTTAAACCTAGTTATTTTCTATTGTTCCAACCACAATCACCCTATCATAGTCCTAATTGTTGAAGATCTAATTGCCCTACAACTCTTCTGCTACGTCAAGTGGCATCAGAGCACAAAAGATCCTAATCTACGATTTTTTTCTGTTTCTAAACTATGGTTGGTCGAGGTAGAGGCAATCAGCCCCAACAAATTGAGTTTGCATCTGCTGAGATGCGGAGGATGATTGAGGACTTGACCCGAGCTGTACAAACCTTGCAGCGTCTGGAACCCGTGGAAACCTGAATGGAGAATCCGGAAGATGACCACAAATAGCTCGAGAGTCAAGAAGATCTTGAGACTAAAGAGGAAATTGAGGACGTGAACCTTTTTCATGAAGCTGGACCTGCAAATCGAGCGGCACGAAGTGGATTGGAAGAGAGGTTACTACACGCTCTTGATTTGAATGGTGGAGGAGTAAAAGTTGAAGTAGCTGATTTTTATGGAAAGTTATATATTGATGATTATTGTGATGATCATGATGAACCGCCACAATTTGATGATGAAATTTTAAAGAAAAATCAATGTTTGACGAAAAATTAATTCCTAACGAAGAAAATTACTTTGAAGTACACATGGATGATTTTGAAAGAAATTCTATTGTCGTCAATTTTTGTGAAGACGTGCATGATCACTCCAACAAGATAAAGCTAAAGGAGATTTTGTTTCGAACAATTGGACTGATTGGATGGACATTATAACTAAGATTGGAAATTTTAAAATTCTTCGAGCATATTACTTGGAGATGAACTTAGAAAAATTTCAATTAAAGCAAGTTGAAGATGAAGATGTTCGTGGCAGAAATTCGAGGTAGAATTTTTTTCTAGTAGGGGAGAATGATGCAGAGAATATATTATTAATATTATTTAGGATTAGTTTTCGTATTTAATAAAATAGTAATTAGGAATAGTTTTTAGTTTTCCCTTTTTATTTAGGATTCCTATTTAATAAGAAATTAAGAATAGTTTTCAGTCTAGAATTCGGATTTGTCCTAACTAGTATAAATAGGACAACATAATTTATTGTATCTTTTCTTTAATTCAGAATTTTAATTCAAAGGTTTTCTTTAAACCTAGTTATTTTCTATTGTTCCAACCACAGTACAAGAGCAGAAATGAAAGTAACACACAACCTGATAAAACTGAATGATATTATTGTATAATGAAAGAAATAGCAACAGCAAGAAAGAGTGACCACAGATTAATCCCTAGCAATTCGAGGAGCTAGGAGCCTCCCAAATTACCTATCAGAATTTACTTGATACCTCCTTTACCACTCTCTAGCTATTTAACCCAGATACTTACTAAACTAACGTTACTCTAACAAACTTTATTCGATCCAGCCACTTGCATGCAAATCCCATAACAAACTCTCACTCACACTCATTACCCATTAGTGCTCTTTTTACGACCCCTCGACTTATAGACCATATTAACAGGAGGTGGTCTATCAGTTTAGGACCTATTAACTTTTTTCACAAAACTTGACAAGTCCATGCACCTGGCCAGGACATTGGATTTCATAGTTTTTCTTTAAGTAGATTCACAAAAAATCTTTTCACCCATCTCTACTTGATTTTTAAGTATTTTCACAAGTCCTTAAACAATAACTAAACTTCTTATGCACACTTAATCTGGTTTTGGCTACCAGAAAAAGTAAATTTATTAAGGTAAATTTTTTTTGGCAAAATGTGAGCCAAAGTCTCCTTATGCACACTTAATCTAGTATCTCAAAGCACTTCAGTAGGAGATGTAACCCCATATACGTACAACTATGAAGATATCATGTTATATATCATTTCAAAATAATTTATAACCCACCAATTTAGAAATTCCACTGCCAAATGATAACAGTCAAAAAAATTATCCCTCAAACATTTTAACCTGCCAATTTAGAGATTCCAATGCTAAATGGTAACAGTCAAGAAAATTATCCCACAACATTTTGACCCGCCTCTTATTGTTATCTATTGTTTAACCTTGTGCTAGAAAACAGAACCATGATATTTGTGGCAAAATGGGCATTTGGTCTCTGTGGGAGGAGAAACTAATACTTCCTTACCTGTAAATGAAAATTATTGTCAGTTATTCTTTTAAAAGCATATGCAGTATGATTACATCCTATCAACTTGAGTGCTCATTCTTATTTCTATTCTCTTTTTCCTTTTCTCTTCCTTACTAATGATTTTCATATTCCATTGTATATTAGACTTTATATCAGCTATCACAAGAAGGAAAATTGAACATTAAAAACCACCAGCACCTACAGTCAACAAAATGGATGTTCCTAAACCAATCTAGCTTCAGCTTCAAAAAACTCCACTCTAGGAAAGACGACCTATATATATTCATATATTAGCAAACAAACAGCTACAGGAAGAATCAATTCTATCTATGTTAGCACAGATGAAGTTACATCCATTTGAGTTCAAAATCTCAGTAAGCAAAATGAAGGAAAAAGAAACAGGCAAAAACTCTTTCCAAGAAGATTAATTAGTTAGTATATAGGGGATCAAAAACATTATTAATTATAGAAGAAACACATCATGATGGGGAAAGAAACAAACAATTCATCAGTAAGATCATTATATTACCTGTGAACCACATTTTGCTCGTGTAGATACTTTAAACCACTAAGGATCTGCCTTGTGTATGCAGAGACCTGAGAATCCCTCAAATTATACTTTTGATAGAGATTTGCAAGTGAACCTTTTGTTACAAGCTCAAGGAAGATATAAAGCATCTTGTCATCCTGAAATCATGATTAGAATTAAAAAAATAATAATAATAATAGAACTGAAATAGGCAAAGATGTAAACAGCAAGATGAAGGAGAATCTAGAATCCATATTTTTGTAGTTCTTCAGGGATTAATGTATTTGATAATGATTCTTTAGTTTTACTTTTCCTTATATAATTTTCTTATTTAAGTAGGATTTAAATGTGTACAGTAGATTCAAATACCATATATAGGCAAGTATGTTTTGATTTTGTGATTCAGACTAGAATATTTACCAATGCTCATCCAGTCAGGGCAATACTCTTAAAAAATCCAATGTAAAAAAAAAATGCGAATTACATTGTATATATATATATGATTATGTTTCTAAACTACATCTCATACATATATTTTATCCAAAACCATATCTTATTATCGGCCCTTTTATGACTATATTAGAAGTATTGTGGCAAATGGGATATTATTTCAAGCAGGTTCGAGTTGTATATGCCCCCTTAATGCAATCGATTGTGTTAATGATAAGGAAATAGTGAGAAAATTTCACATGACGGAAAAGAGAAAAGTTCATGAGGGTTGATGTCAACCAGGGACAGAAGCATGCATTTGAGTTTAAATTTTTTAAATACAAAAATTATAGTAGACTGAGTGTTTAGTAAACATTCTTGGGAAAAAAAAAAAAAAAAGGTTACAATAAGTGTAAAGTTGAGCTTATTGGGCTTCATAGCCAAATTTTGGTTAGTTTAATTACTATCCCAATATTTTATGTGGTCTAGTTATTTTAACAAAACTAATAATATAATTTTAAATAATTAAAAGCCCATTTATTTTACTACTCCAATATAGTGTGATAAAATCAATTTATTATATATATATTTAAAAAACTTTCTTGTTTTTTATTATTTCATGTCAAATAAGTATTTATAATCCTCACAAGATAATACAATATGTATGTCAATCCTTCTTTAAAGGTATTTCTTTTATTTCATCAATCATAATTAAAAAAACATTTTCTTTCTTATGGATTGTATAGATCACCACCTCTCTCACTCATATCTCATCCAATAATTTTATCACTTTGAATATAATTATTTGTACTTTGAACCTAACATTGAGAGTGCTTTATTTCATTTGCATTGCATTGCATTTTTTTAACTTTTTTATCATATAATTACAATAAATTTTTTATATAAAAATAAAATTTAAAGGGTAAGGGTCATTATGTCTCATAATTATGTGTATGATTCTTTTCCCAGTAATAAAAAGTTTCTCAAACCAACAATATTTGTTAAAAAAATATGTTNTTCGTTTTCTTCCACCAACAATACTTGGAATTGTCTCTCCCCACATCTATGGCCTGGTGTAAACTTAGCATCACAGCAATAACATAAACCCCTCTCTCTCTTCCTCTGAATTTCGGCTTCAATCAACCTCCCGGAAAATCTCGGCTAAAGGTACTAACACGGGAACTGTTTGCTAGCGTTGACCCAGTACTTGAAATATTTTTAGGGGAAGTTCATCTAAATGAAACTGGTGGGTTTCTTTGGTTATGGATATTGTTGGGTTGGGTTTGGGTGTTATGGGTTTGGGTTTTAGTAGTGTCTTCGGGCTTGTAAAAATTTAAGTATAGGCGTGGCCCCCTAAGAATTCCCTCTACTTTTTCCATTCGGCCCAAACCAGATTTGGCCTCATCCAAAGCTTGATTTCTCTCTTCCACCCGTTAGGCTATGAGAGAAACTTGGGTCAAGGAATTAGGTTGGCCCAATAGGTTGGGTTGTTGCAACTTAATCTCAGCTTTAATATCCGGCTTCAACCCATTTAGGAAGGCCGCCGTCAACACTTCTTCCCTCTCACCCACCGTTAGTGCTACCACTTCCTCGAAACGATGGCGATATTCCAGCACAGATCCTACTTGTTTCATCAACATGATCATCTCCAAGGGACTAACTTCTTGGGCGCCACTAAACCTCTATAGAAGTGCCACTTTAAATGTCGACCAAGCTATCATAGGTGTCCTCAATTCTGTCCACTAGAACCAGTGCAAGGCTTCACCCTCCATACATAACACCGTGGCCGAAACCTTGTTTTCATCAGCTATCTGATTGATCGAAAAATAGCGTTCAACCCAGAATATCCCGCTTGAAAATATCAATAACTCCAGCCTTCGTCCTCCCCATTCTCTCTTGTATCCCCCGTTGCCATTATGATATCTTTCATTCTCATGTTGGAAGAANCTTTTGTCGTCAATTTTTGTGAAGACGTGCATGATCACTCCAACAAGATAAAGCTAAAGGAGATTTTGTTTCGAACAATTGGACTGATTGGATGGACATTATAACTAAGATTGGAAATTTTAAAATTCTTCGAGCATATTACTTGGAGATGAACTTAGAAAAATTTCAATTAAAGCAAGTTGAAGATGAAGATGTTCGTGGCAGAAATTCGAGGCAGAATTTTTTTCTAGTAGGGGAGAATGATGCAGGGAATATATTATTAATATTATTTAGGATTAGTTTTCGTATTTAATAAAATAGTAATTAGGAATAGTTTTTAGTTTTCCCTTTTTATTTAGGATTCCTATTTAATAAGAAATTAAGAATAGTTTTCAGTCTAGAATTTGGATTTGTCCTAACTAGTATAAATAGGACAACATAATTTATTGTATCTTTTCTTTAATTCAGAATTTTAATTCAAAGGTTTTCTTTAAACCTAGTTATTTTCTATTGTTCCAACCACAGTAACCCTATCCTAGCCCCAATTGTTGAAGATCTAATTGCCCTACAACTCTTCCACTACGTCAATATTGTTTCGCAGAAATAAAAAAAAAAGAAACCAATTGTTGAAATAAGATGCATACCTTGTCTGTGCCAAAGTACTGAACTATGTTTTCATGTTCAAACCAACTTAAAAGAGAGATCTCCTGAGCCAATAAACAGAGCATAAGATAAAAATATTTCATTCAGCTAAATAGAATACACAATAGTTGTAAGAGGCAAAACCAAACTCTAAAACTAAATGAGTTTGACAAATTGATGAGAATAAATGATTAGCAGGATTTAGTTAAGGAACTTCAAACATGACAAAACTATTCTTCTCACCTGCTGAAGCTGGAGAATGCTCTGTTTTCCCTGATTTCCTTGATCCAACAGAGAAACCTCCTTTACAGCAAAAAAGAATCCATCACTGAAAAAATCCAGCAAGTATGAGATAGTGCAACAAATCACATGTAAATGAAAAGGCATATTAATAAACCTCCTTCGGAATTATTCATCCAAACTTCAGTACAGATTAACATAAGATAAAAATGATTGTTTGATTTTTGTTACGATTAAGCATAATAAATCAGGGAGCAATTACGATGGTTGTATTTACCACAAAACGGCTTCTATAGTTATAGGTGTAAGAGAAAAATAAGGGATAAGTTAATGAGGAAGAATAATGACAATCACACAAAGCAGACAACTTTCATGGTTCCTTTTAGCCTACATCTGAAGTTGAAGATAGAAAAATTATTCTACTAACAAGTTGAAGGCAGAATTTGGTGGGATAGATGTCAAAACCCAAGACCCCAATATAAAAAATTTTCTATTACCCTCTCAAATACTCTCTTTTCTAATCACTCAATCTTTGAAATGTATCTCTTGGGCTTAAGTTGTTTCAGTCACCTTAAACGTTTGAGTAGGTCCATATATATATTCAAGGTTGTCTCGTACTCGTTCAAAGGTTTCGATACCAAATTTCATTTGACGCCTCAATTTCTATAAATTAACACAAAAAATCTGAAATTTGAGAAAACCAAACATGCTCCACAAACATGCAATTCAATGCCATACAAAAAGTCAAATAAAGAGGTTAATTTTACCTTTCACAGAAATGGTTATTGTCAAAGGCACACAAATTGCACAATTAACACCATAAAATTTAACAACTTCCCAATGTTTCATTTGTTTAATTTTTACACTTATTGTTGCTAAAAAGCATGTCCAAAATTAACAAGGTAGAGGTAAAGTACTAAATTTGAGATGGACCTGGATACAACTATGAAGATTTTGGGTATAGAGTTTTTACAGGGTTTGAAAAAATGGTGAGTTATACTCATTGCAAAANCCCATAGGAATTCAGACATTGTGCATATAGTTCCATAGAAAAACCAGACACTGGTGCTACTGGCTGGTTCTAAGTATGTCAATAATCTCAAACTCCGAGACTGTCAAGAGGCCATGCAATAAATGTTTCTTTTGTAACTCTCCTTAATTTTGGGTTCTAATATTACATGTGTCAATCAATCTAGAGACATGATATATCTTGCATGAGCAATAATCTTCACTCATTTTCCACCTCAATGCCAATATTCTAGCAGAATCATTAAAATCACACCTTATTCGCTTCATAAACTCATCTGGTGTCTATGATTGATCTAGCTTCCTTTCTCTTTCCCATACATAAAGCCTAGAACCTTTTTCTAGACATTCTTTCTTCCAACCAGAAATCTCCTCAGCAATTTCTCTAACTGATCCAAGGGATTTTTTGTTGGGATTTTCTCTTTTTGGATTGCTTGAAATTTAGCCACATTCTTTTAACATATTAGTGTTGCTTCTCGCAGGTACCCTTTTGCTAGAAGAGGTGGTGACTTCTTGTGGTAGCGATGGAATTGATGCCATTGTAGATGCAGCTTGTAAACGATTTGATGAGTCACAACAAGAAAAAGCTGCTGGCTCTGTTGTTTGGTGGAGAGTAAGTATCAAACTTTTGGTTTCTGATGTAGAATAAGGGTATGCTTCAGGATCTCCGGCCTGGCCTTTGTCATTTAGGCTGCTGTAGAAACTGATAAGAGTAGCAGAAGGAAAACAAGATAGATAATATAGAAATCAATAAGATATACAAAATTGAGAGAATAAAGCACGATAGATAAGGGAGAACAACGAGATAGGGGAGAAATCCAGAACTATTAGAGGAAGAGATAATCTGATGAATACCCTTCTATTCATACCTACTCTAACGCCTACCAACAACAGAAATAATCCAACAACCACAATGCGCATTAACCATCCACAGCAAAAATAACAGTAACTAAATGGACAGTAATGAAGAAAAGACTTTTCGTTAAGATCCCGGAATTTACAAGACAACAAAAGAGATAAGAAAGCAACACCTAGCTGGTCTTTGAGGGCCAGCAACCTCCCTAAACTTTTTACCCAAAAATCAGAGAATGCCTCTATCACCACATTCCTTCGTCCCTTTATTCTGTCACCCAAGATTCTATCTAACAACCTAGGCCACCTGTAAGGCCACTTGTTATAACAACCTAGGCCACTTGTACCCATATCAAATGCCCACCTGTGTTATAACAACCCAGGCCACCTGTACCCATATCAAATGCCCACCTGTTATAACAACCCACGCCACCTGTTACCCATATCAAATGCCCTTTTTGCCCCCTTTGCCCTTGCGTGTGTACCTCTGGATGATATCGGGTCCATCAATACACCCCCCAAGGAGTGCCATCTTGTCCTCAAGGTGGAAGGAAGGGAACTGTTGGCAAATAGCCTTATAATCCTCCCAAGTGTTATCACAAGGAGGGAGATTTCGCCACTTGATCAGCACCTCATAACTCCCATTTAGTAATCGACGTTTCCGCAGTGCTTGTTTAGGTTCAACCTTAAGTACCATGTCCCCGTCAAGAAACTCTAGAAGAGGTAGTGCATATATGGGGTGGGAAGAGACTTTTTTCAGTTGTGAGATGTGAAAGACACCATGAATTCGGGTTGAAGGTGGGAGCTTTAATCTGTAAGCAACTAGTCTAATCCTTTCAATGACTTCAGAGGGACCATAAAACCTAGGGCTAAGCTTCTCGTTAGGTTGCCGTGCCAAGGATTTTAGCCTATATGGCTGTAATTTCAAGTAAACCAAGTCTCCTATCTCAAATTGAAGGTCCCGTCGCTTACCATCTGCGTACATCTTCATCGAGTGTTGCGCCTTTTCCAGATTACCCTTTAACTCCTCCAAAGTCAAGTTTCACTCAGTCAAGAGTTCATCCACAACGTTCACCACCGAACTGTGTTCAGAATACTTGAGTAGGACTGGCGGATCTCTTCCATAAAGTGCTCGGAACGGCGTCATCCCGGACGATCTGTTGTATGTGGTATTGAACCAATACTCCGCCCAGGCAAGCCATTGAGGCCATTGTTTGGGCTGGTCACTCACAAAACACCTTAAGTATGTCTCGAGGCAGCAGTTGGTGACTTCGGTTTGCCCATCCGATTGAGGGTGATAAGCCGTACTCATGTGGAGTTGGGTACTCGACAATTTGAACAACTCACCCCAAAATGCGCTCATAAATAGGTTGTCTTGGTTTGATACTATGGTGCGAGGGAATCCATGTAACTTAACTATATTAGTGAGGAAAAGGGTTGCCTCTTCTTTGGCTGAAAATGGGTGGCGTAGTGTGATGAAATGACTATACTTGGTAAGACTGTCTATCACCACTAAGATAGTATCAACCCGTTGAGCTCTCGGGAGTCCCACCACAAAATTCATGGAAATATCCTCCCATACTTGAGAGGGAACAAGTAGAGGTTGAAGTAATCCGGCTGGTTTGAGGCAATCATTCTTGTTTTGCTGACAAGTAAGGCAATCTCGAACAAACAATTGAATATCCTTCCTCATACCTTCCCAATAGATTACCTGTGACAATTGTTTATATGTGCGGAAAAACCCAAAGTGACCTATTGGTGAGGAATGAAATTCTTGGAGAAGGAGCGTTACCTGAGGGCAAGATCGTGAAAGGACTATTCGGTCACCATAGGACAATTTGCTTCCTATTAATAAAAAATGCAGGTGACTGGTCAGGTCGAGTATCAAATCTTGAAAAATTTTGTGTAGCTTTACATCCTGAACATCTTCTTCCCACTCTTGTCGACTCCCGAAGTAGCATGTAGAAATCGCATTACACTCAATAAGACCTCGTTTGGACAAGGCATCAGCAACCCTATTTTCAAAGCCCGACTTGTATTAAATCTCATCATTCAATCCCAGAAGCTTGATAATCCATTTTTGTTGCTTTTCCCCTTGTAACCTGTGGTCATTCAGATAGTGAAGACTGTTCTGATCGGTTCGAATAATAACAGGTAGTGTTTCCATTTCTGAACTGCCATAACTATTGTCGTAAGCTTCCTTTCATAAACCAACTTCAGTCTAGACTTAAGAGGCAATCCTTGACTAATGAACGCTAATGGTCTGCCCTCTTGCATTAAAATAGCTCCCAATCCTTGGTCAGAAGCATCGGTTTCAATGATAAAGGTCTTGGAAAAGTCTGGCATTGTGGGAGTGGGAAGGGAAGTCATGAGTTGCTTGAGTTCATCAAAGGCTGCCTGTGCTGATTCACTCCATTGGAATGCATTTTTGTGTAGGAGATCCGTTAATGGCCTTGCCCTTGCCCCATACCCCTGCACAAATTTTTGATAATAACTGGTCAACCCCAGAAATCCCTGTAACACCTTGATGTCCTTTGGAACTGGCCATGCCTGAATACACTCTATTTTGGCAGGATCAATAGCCACCCCCTACGCCAAGATCAAATGTTCGATGTACTCCAGTTGTGACTGCGCAAACTTGCATATCTTTTTATTAACAACCAACTTATGCTGCTCTAAGATCTGAAAAGTGGTTTCCAAATGATCCAGATGAACTTCTAAGTTTGTACTGTAAACCAAGATGTCGTCGAAGAAGACTAAAATGAACTGCCGTAAGTGGGGTTTGAACATGTCGTTCATGAGAGCCTGGAAAGTTGAAGGAGCGTTTGAAAGTCCAAATGGCATAACAAGGAATTCATAGTGTCCATTGTGCGTTCTTAAGGCTGTCTTATGAGTTCACTCTCCTTCACTCTAATTTGGTGGTATCTGGATTTAAGATCAAGTTTGGAGAAGGCCTTGGCTCTACCCAATTCATCAAATAGTTTGTTGACGGTTGGAATGGGAAACTTGTCTGGAGTTGTTATCTTATTCAGGGCTCTATAGTCAACGCAAAGTTGCCAACCCCCATCCATTTTTCGTACCAATAACACCGGGCTTGAGAATGGACTTTTGCTTGGCTTGATGATGTCAGCTACCAACATCTCCTTGACTAGGTGCTCAATATCATTTTTTTGATAATAGGGATATCAATACGGTCGAATGTTGAGTGGTTTACTATCAGGCTCTAATTTGATGGCGTGGTCATGGATCCTTTCCGGTGGAAGTCCTGGGGTTGTTTCAAATAA